GCATGTCCACAGCTCAGCTCCTGCTTGTCCTCCGAACCTGCTCTGTCCTGTCTGTCCCCACCTCTGTTGACGGCTACTCCATCTTTAAACCCTGGGGCCACCATCTTGCTCTCCATAGCGCCCCCTACCGTGTGACATCCTACATATTAATTATATCTCCCATTGTCTTGGATTTTTTGTTTTGTTTTGTTTTGCTGTTTTTTTTCAGTACTGGGAGTTGAACCCAGGGCTGTCACACTGAGCTCCATCCTGAGCCCTTTTTATTTTTTTGTTTGTTTGGTTTGTTTGTTTGTTTGTTTGTTCCGATATGGGGAATCGAACTCACGATCTTGCGCTTGCCAGGCAGGCGCTGTGTCGCTGAGCTAAATCCCCAGCCCGCCCTTTTTATTTTTTATTTTGAGACAGGCTGTCCCTAAATCACTAAGTTGCCCAGGCTGGGCTCAAACTTGCTGTCCTCTTGCCTCAGCCTCCCAGAGTGCTGGGATGTTAGGTGTGCGCCATTATCTCCAGCTGCATTTGTTCACATGACGTCCTAAGGCCCAGTGTACACTGGACACCTAATAGTTGCTCACTTAATCTATGCTCAATGAAAAGACTTTGCTCAGCAGCTCCTTTAGCACCAGGCAAACAGGAACCTTTCTCCTCCACCCCATCTGTGCAGTCGCATGAGGAGGCCATGAGCATGTTGCAGCAAAGACCTGGGATTCTGAGGTCCTGTGGTCCCAAGTTCGAGTTCCAACTCAGTGGTACTATATGCATCGGTAACTGCTGCAGGCTTTAGTTGCCTGCTCTGTAAAATGGGACCGGAGCGGCGCAGGTGACGCTGCAGGACGGATGTGGGGCGCCCAGGCAAGCTCCCCGGTGCACAGCAATCGATGCATCTATATATAAACCGGGGCCTCCTTTGTACTCCCACCGCCTCTGTCCTAGTTGCAGTCCTCATTACGCTGGCCTGCTCTCGCGGCTGCCTCGTCACTACCAATCTGTCCTTTCAGCTGTCAGGCTGTCTTCCCAACGCCAACCCTAATCACAGCCCTCCTCTGCTCGAGACCTGACGCGACTCCCGCTGTCCGCAGGACAGCGCACTGCTCCTCCGCTCCGCACCAGTTCCGTCCCACCGCGCAGCACGGCGGGCGGGGCGCTTCCGCCGCTCCTGCTGCGGTGAGAGGTCACAGGCCTTGCATCAGGCCTGGGCAGGTCAAGGCCGAGGTCACATGATGAGAAGACGCACAGTGAGCTCTGAGAGTTTCTGACCGTGCCCCGGATTTGAGCTCCGCAGCGCTGCTGTCCGCGCCTCTGTTCACTTCTTTCTCCTCCTGCCCTCAACACCCTGAGGGCGAAGGACTTGGAGTTGCGGCCTCACCCTTGCCCCGCGTGTGACCTCCCCACACCGAGCCCGCGGCTGCTCCCCTCCTCCGCGGTCTTCCAGCTTCCGGCCCAGCCCGCAGAGGGACTGGACTTTCATGCACAGCAGAGCAGTCCCTTCCCTACTCAGAGCCCCCAGGGCTCCTCCCTTCCCTCATGGGGACCCGAAGCACTCGGCACCCGCTGCGCCATCACCTCCTGCCCTTGTGTCCTGCACCCCTGAACTCTGCTCTCCCCAACTTCATTGTGCTCCTTAAGCTCCCTGGGCATGGTCCAGCCACAGGACCTTTGCCCAGGCCGTCCCCTGCCCAGCTTTCCCCTGCTAGTTTTCTGTGTGGCTCCTCTCTTGCTCTCTTCCAGGCTCCAGCCACACGTTCCCTTTAGCGTTCGCACAGAGAGGCAAATGGGTAAAGTGTCGTGTGGGTCCACGTTGGTGGCCAGCACAGCGGGCTCCCCATTCCATGGGGACAGACCAGCTGAGACCAAGGACATTCACACAAAGCACTGCTTCTGTGCCGAACATGTCTGACTCCTCCCGCGGCGTTCTGCGCTAAGCAGCGCAGTACGGGAGCTCGTCTCGCGGCATTTCCGGCGCACAGGTGTCTCCGGAGCTGGCGCGCACAGGAGACTGCGAGCGCTCTGTGCGTGTGTTATGCCATCTGTGTAAGGGGCTGGAGCACGCGGGGTGGGCACCCCTCGAGGTCCCGGAGCCAGCTCCCCGGGGGAACTAAGGAGACGCTGTACCTTGGGCAGGCTAGGCCCAGTAAGCTGTGCTACTCACATGCATATCACCTCTTTCTTTTACTTTTTTTAATGTAGCTACTTGAAAATTTAAAATCTCATACTCAGCTCTCCCTGGATTCCTACTTGGCTGGGCTGCTCTGACTGCCGGGCGGGGGAGAGCAGGAGCCTTTGTCCATATAAATGTCACCATGTCCCCTGACCCCCCTCGCATGTCTCCAAGGGGCTCCTCCCCTGTCCCTCCTCAGCGCTCGTCCCTCTGACATCTGCCTGCTTACTGGGGTTCCTGTCAGTCTCCCCGATACAGATGGGGATTCCTAGGACTTGTGTCCCAGGACCTGGATGGAGTCTCACACGCTGTTGGTGTCAGTTATGTTTGTGAAGTAAGTAAGTAAAGGGCCAACAGTGTGTAGGGGGTGTCGTGCACACCCTGGCCAACACCCCTTCCTGCCAGGAAAGCTGACTAGAACCCAGGAATAGGACGGCGCTGGACGAGATGGAATTGGAGGAATTGCTAATCAATGTCTGAGAGAGAGACAGCGGTCCAGTGCAAAGCTGGCAGTTCACAACGGATAAGCCGTGGAAGCAGCCAGATGCTCATGAACAGATGCACAGATAATGGAAACACGATAGATACACAGAGTGAGATGCTGACTGCAACGATAGCCTCTGTAGGAAAATGGTGGAGGTAGAGTGAGGTAAGCCAGACTCCGAAGGACAAGTATCGCGTGCTTTCTCTCATAGGGAGAGAGAGAGAGGCAGAGGGAGCAAGAGCAGAAAAATAGCAAGGAGACTGTTAGAGAAACAGGGAAAGAAAGGGGGAAGAGAAGGACCCAGTAAGTTCCGTCATGTACACACATGCGCAGATGAAGCCCCCGGTGCACACAGCTCGTGTACTCAGCAGGAACAGTGCCGGCTGGCCTGGCCCCACTTCCTGTCACCCTCACAGCCCTGCCTGATTCCCTGCATTTGTGCGCAGCTCCCACCTCAGCTCTGTTGCATCCACTGTCCGAGCGTGGAGAGGTTCTTCCTCGCTGATCGGTTCCTCCTCCTCTGAGAGGTCTCAGCTTGAGGTGAGGCCTCCTGGGACCCCAGGCTGTTAGCATGGCCTGTCTTGCACCCCTCAAAGCTGTCTTGTTGTGCGAGGTGGCACACACCTGTGATTGCAGGACTCTGGGAGGCTGAGGCAGGAGGATCACAAGTTGGAGCCCAACCTTCTGGGCAACCTAGCAACTCAGCAAGACCTTGTCCACAAATAAAAAATTAAAAAGAGGAAATGCAGTTATAACTCAGTGCAAAAGCCCAGGGAAGGAACCGGGAGGGTTCTTCCCCCTTGAGAATACATCCCATTTGCAACAGATTCATTTCTCATGTGCATGTTCTTTTAAACATTTCGGCATGAGCAGGACCATCTAATGTGTCTCTGCACCCAGCACACAGGGCTGCTCAGATGAGACGCACCTTTGGTGGCGGGAAAGTGGGTCCCTCCAACCTGCTGTGCCCTTCTCTGCTGCAGGAGTAATCATTCATAGGAGAATTGGGAATGGCCCTCGTTGTAGTCTGGGGTCACCCAGAATACCCCGAAACAGCAGGCGATCCCCAGAGATACTGGCGGGAGAGGGAAGGCGAGGCAGGGGAGTTACAGGCAGGTTACCCCCAGGAGGATGAGCTCAGGCTCCCGGGAGTTTGAGAGCTGTAAAGGGAGGGGCAAGAGGCACCACTCTCAGGCGTCTCGGTCATGGGCTGCTCCTGCTCCCGCTGTCCGCTGGGCCAGCCTCAGAGGGAGGTCTAGCTCCTGGCCACATCGAAAACGCTCAGTGCTGTTCTATGCCCCGAGCCTGCACCGCAGAGCCCTGTGCTTTGCTGCTCGTCTCACTCACCCCAGAATGCTCTGGCGGGAGCCCCTCCCCGTGCTCTCTGCCTCCATTGCTCCCTGTCCACGTCCCAGCTCTGAGACGGACAGGGAGCAGGTGTTGGGGGAGCCCTTGACCCCCAGAAGCTCTTGGACAGACCAGGCCTGATGTTCCTGGGGAGAGAAGGTTACCATAGGAGGCCCTCTCACCTCTTGGCATCATTCTGTCTGTCTGACTGTCTGTTTTAAGACAAGGTCTTGCTATGTAGCTCAGTCTGGCCTTGCACTTGGCTATCCTCCTGCCTCAGCCTCCTCAGTGCTGGGATGACAGGCATGCTCCACAACACCTGGGTGCATTGATTTTTACTCATTACTTTTATGAAAAAGGTTCTTTTTGACCCAAAGCTTGGGGTCTGTAGCCCCCTCCCAGGCCAGCTGGTCCTTGGAGCTGGCTCACACTAGTGGTTTGTTTAATCATTTATCTCAGAGTAGTGGACACACTGCTTGTGTGCCTGGCACAGGATATTCAAAGTGCATCACAAGTAGTGACCCTGATGAGAAGCATTTGAGTTTTAGTGCTGTTGGTGTCATCGTGTGCAAAAGGGGAAACTGAGATATGGAGCTGAGCAGGGCCTTGGCCAGGGTCACCCAGCTGGGAGTGACGGAGCTGGGATTCAAACTCTTAGCACTGACCTGTTTTCCTGCAGGTAGAAAAGAGCCTTACAAGGGTCTGGTCCACCCTGATCGGGACACACATTGGATATCACCCACCCACTCATCCCAGGGACTCTTGCGTTCCTCTCTTTGCGACATTGAAGGGCGTCAATCACCCGTCTGTTTTGAATCTTTGTAAATCATTTTCTATCCCATGCAGCAGGAGCTGCGAAGACCACTTGGCAGGTGACCAAGCAAAAGAGGCCCGGAGCTGCTGAGTCACCTGCCTGTGGTCACCTGGCCAGGAGAGGACACATGGGGCCCTCCCACCTGCCTGCGTGACACTGACGCCCGTCCTCAGTTGCCCGTTCTGCCGCTTCTCTTCCAGCATCTTGGCGACGGTCGGGACGGAGTTTGACCTGCGGACGCTGCGAGCGGTTCGGGTGCTGCGGCCGCTCAAGCTGGTGTCGGGAATCCCAAGTGCGTGAGTTTCCGCCAGCCCTGTACAGGCTGTGCTCGAGGGCCCCTCCGCAGCCCCCAGCCTGTGTCAAGGCCGCTCCTCTTCCGGGACGGCCTCTGAGGTCCCCCAGGAACCTGGCTGCGGAGCTAGGTGAGCTCCTGAAAGCCACACAGGAGACTCCCCCATTTAGCAGCGCTCCTGTTCATCACGGCCAAGCCCCACACCCCACACCCCACACCCCCCATGCAGCACCCGCGGCCCTGTGAGGCGGCTCCTTGCGCAGATACCTCCATTTTACGAAGGAGAAACTGAGGCTCAGAGTGACTGGAACATTGCGGCAGGGTCGAATGGCCAAGAAGTGGTCAAAGGCCAAGCGTGGTGGTGCATGCCAGTAATCCCAGCACTTGGGAGGCTGAGGCAAGAGGGTCACCAAGAGTTCAAGGCCAGTCTGGGCTACATAACCAGTTTAAGGCCATCCTGAACTACATCGTAAGATCCTGTCTCAAAACAAACGAAAAAAAAAAAAACAAAGACAAAGTCTTGGAAAAGCAACTGCATCTGCACTGAGTGCATGCAGACTTTTCGCCTGTGTTACTCCCTCAACAGTGCAGTATCGGAGCTGCGTACATGGAACTTACATTGTCTCAGGTGCCTCAAGCCATCTAGAGATGATTTAAAGACCACAGGAGGAGGCGCCCTGGCTCTGTGCATACATCCTGGGCCATTTTATATAAGGGATGTGAGCATCCGCAGATTTGCGCACCCCAGGAAGGGTCTCCCGCAGGTCCCAAGGAACGGCTGGATACAGCACAGCGGTCAAACTAGCAGGACTTGACCTCATTGCAAAGGGAGCTGGAAGTCTCATTCCGTCTCCTTGTAGGTTGCAAAAAAGAAAAAAGTAGCTGTGGTTTTTATGAGCACTGCTGGAGGTTTAGAACAGGTGACTTTTCGAGCAGAGTGAGAACTTCACTGTTGTCCATTGAAAGCCCGTCCTCTCCCAAAAGAAATCGAAGCTCTGTGGTTTAACCACTGCCCGCCGGTGGGGATGCACCGTGGAGGTGTGGGAGGTGCTGGGTGCTGCACGGGGCTAGGATGAGGGGTTGCCTGGGCTCCCGGACCTCACTGGTGACCAAGCTCCCCCTACACCAGACTGTCCCACCACCACGGCCCTCTGGCTTCTCCTTCACCACCATCTTTTTTGCTCAGGAGAGAGAAGTCAGCATCCACAGCTGGGAGAACATCAGGCTTCAGGTCAAGTGGAATGGGGTTCGAACCCTGCCCTTTAGCTGGGAGCGATAGTACACATCTACAATCCCAACACCAGAGAGGCTGAGACAGGAGGGTCTAGAGTTTGATGAAGCCAGTTCAAGGCCAACCTAGACTACATATCGATGCTCTGTCTCAAAAAAACCAAAATATCCCGGCCCTGCCTTTACTTGGGTCCTGGGCAGAGCCAGGCCCTGTCTGAGCCTTGTTTTCTTGCTTCTGTACAACGGGAGTGATCAGCCACCTGCAGCCACCTCTGCTGGTGCTGCCGCAAAGCCTCTGAAATGATGTGGGCTCTGGTTCTTCAGGGTGGATGGCCGGGACCTCCGCCGCTGTTCTCTACAGGCTGCAGCCAGGCTAGAGGGCATTTTTGTAGGATTAGAAAAAGATGTCCCCTCCTGCGAGAGAAAATAAATAGGAAACAGCGCCCCCTCCTGGGCACAGGTGACACAGCACTTTGAAAAATAGTTCTAAAAGCACTGGGTATCTGCCCCGGCCTGCCTGTAAGGTGATCAAAGGGAGCAGCATCTGAGAGTGCCTTTCTAAAGTGCTTTAAAATTAAGAGAACTTGATCAGGGCTGGGGTTTAGCTGAGCGACACAGCGCCTGCCCGGCAAGCACAAGGTCATGAGTTCGATCCCCGGTACCGGAAAAAAAAAAAAAAAAAGCTTTATCAGCTGGGGATGCAGCTCAGAGTACAGCACCTGCCTAGCACGCAGAGGCCCCAGTTCCACCCCCCAGCACCACAAATGAATGAATGAATGAAAAGGACTTGCTAAAAACTAGGAATGACTGTTCTCTTGTTATGAAGACCAGCCTCTAAGGAGCCCTTCCGTCACCTTCCTTCCCTGTCCCCCCAGCCCCGGCCCCCTCCTCGGTGGCTAGGTTCGGGGCGCATCTCACGAGGGCGTGGGACCTCTCTCTCTCTCTCTCTCTCTCTCTGTGTGTCTCCCTAGGTTTACAAGTCGTCCTGAAGTCGATCATGAAGGCGATGATCCCTCTGCTGCAGATCGGCCTCCTCCTATTTTTTGCAATCCTTATTTTTGCAATCATAGGGTTAGAATTTTATATGGGAAAATTTCATACCACCTGCTTTGAAGAGGGGACAGGTAGGTCGAAGCAGCATGATACGTCTTTTTCCCTTGTTCTTCCTCTGGGAACACAGGCCTGGAAGGCACAGGCAGGGGCTGTCTTCCTCCTCGTGGTGTGCGGGACTTGCCCTGGGGTACAGCTCGGGGGATGCACGCATGGCTAGCAGGCACAACGCCCTGGGTTCCCAGGGAGGAATAAAGCCTTCAGCCATGCCTGATGGTGCACACCTGTAATCCCAGCTCTCCAGAGGCTGAGGCAGGAGGACTGCCAAGTCCAAGGCCAGTGTGGGCCATATAGCGAGACCCTACCTCAAAATAATAAAAAACAAAACCAAACAAAAAACCTTCAGGAAAAGCAGCAAGTAGCATTGCCCCCCAGATCTTGGTGGCTGCTACAGGGTCCAGTTGCCCTCTTCCCAAGGCTGGGGCGAGTGCTGCTTGGAAATGAGCCACATTGACTGGAAGGATGGGGTGGAGGTAAGAGAGGAAGGCAGGCACAGTGGGTGACAGTGCAAGGGAGCTGGGTGCCCCCGCGACCTCTCTGACCTTCATGTGACCACTCCTGGGCGGGCAGGGATGCCCAGGTGTCTCGGGTGATGCAGGGGCCGGGCGATCACGGGATGGGGACAGGAGTCCCTCTGGGGACCTCAGTCTGTCCTACAGGGGGAGGGGCTCCCGCCTGCCGCTTTGTGGGTGGCTGTGTTTTCCTGTAGAAGAGCAGGCCCAGGAGCCTGCAGGCCTCCAGCTGGCCTGGCCCAGCCAAGCAGAGCCAGCTCCCTGCAGGGCTGGGCCGGCAGAAGACACCTGGGCCCGAAGTTAGAAGGTCTGGTGTGCCCGCTGTCCGTGCTCGGGGACCACGCTCCTTGTGGAGGCATTGCCAGTTCAGTCCCTGGCTCTCCAACCTCCAGCTGCCTGCTGCCCAGAGCCCTAAACTGGACAGAGAAGAGAGAAGAGGCGACACCGTGTTCAGACGGCTGGCCTTCCGCAGGTGGTGGCTGAAGACCATGCTGGTCCTGACCCTTTGACCTAGAGAGCTGTGACCCAGGGAGCAGACCGAAGGGAGAGGAGACCCGCCCCCCCCGAGAGAGTGTGTTGGGCCTGTTCTTCCCAGCTACCCTGTGGGAGGCTGAGGCAGGAGGGTCTCAAGCTCAAGGCCAACCTGGGCAACTTGGAGAGACCCTGTCTTAAAATAAAAAAATAAAAAAAAAAAAAGGGCTGGGGATGTAGCTCAATGGAAAAGGCCCTGGGTTCAATCCAAGCACCACTTTTTAAAAAAATGCCATGAAGACCGGTCCCCATACATCCCAAGAAGGAAAGCCCATGGGTAAGGTTTATTCCAGAAGGCTGGAGTACTGGTTCTTTCCTTCCTTCCTTCTTTCTATCCTCTTCTCTGGCTCCTCCTTCTCCTCTCTTGGGCCTGTGACGTGTGCTCAATATGGTATGTCCTAATTATTTCTTTTCCCAATGAAGAAGGTGTTAATTGAGGCAGATCTATTCCTGCACCTGGTCTCATCACTCAGATGGAAATGAGAGGGAGAGAGACAGGGACAGGGACAGGCACCGACCCTCAGAAGTATCAGGCTCACGTGGAAAAACCAGGACTCCTGGCTTGTAGCCTTGTGTGAAGTTTTCTTGTTTTATGTTGTTTTTTCATCTAAGATTCGATGCAGGAGAAAGCCAGGCTGGCCTGGGTCTGAATGGGGTTGCGGGGCCAGACGTGGGCGTCGTCGGTGGAGGGTAGGAAACCTCAATTTAGGAGGATGACTGAAGCGCTCACAATTAAAAATACAAGACGTGTGAGTAAGAGACAGATATATACAGACACCCCGGCAGCAGGTTAATTTTAAAATGTATTTATAACCAAATTCCTCTGACTTTCTGGATGGCTGTGCTTCTAGAAGCCACCTCGGGAGCACTTGTGCTGCGGGGCTGGGAGCCGGGGGGCCGGCGCGAGGCATCAGTCGAGAACACCGCTGGGCCACTCGGCTAAAGATAGCTCTATTCGCAGCTTTGCTGCTCGCGTCGGGCCGGTTCCTGTGTGCCCAAAGCCGTCCTAAACAGCCAGGAATGCCAAGACAAGTAGGAAGCTTCCTGTGCTCCAGGAGCTTCCAGCCCTAGAGGAAAGAGACCCCCTGCCTCCCTGGCAGCTGTCTGGAATCCACACCCTGCCCCCTCATAGCACCGAGAGACTCGGTAACGGCCACGTGGGATGGCTACACAGGCGCAGGGGACAGGGCCAACCAACCGGGCGGAGACAGAGAAGGTCCAGACAGAGCAGCCTTGTGGCCAACAGTGTCAGAGCAGGAGCATGGGTTACTTGGTGACCTGCTCTGAGCCCCAGGTTTGCAGGCTTTTGCTTCCTGCCTGTGTGTGTTAGCGGAAGCCCGCCGTCCACAGGGAAGGTGCTCTCCGCGGTTTACACCAGCAAGACTCCCCCCTCTGGCTGGGGCCGAGTCTCCCTCCGCCGGGCGGCAGCTGAGCTGGGACCTGCCTGTGAAAGTCTCGCACAGACGTGGGGATATACTTTTGTTGAGCAGGAAGCTTGATTTTCACATTCAGCAGTTTGTGTTCTTGTTGGACATGTCACTCTGGTTTTTGTCTTTTCTTTTTTAAACCTTCCGAAGTGTCACAGCCAGCGTCACAGCATAGGCCTGTCATCCCAGCGTTACGGGAGGCTGAGGCAGGAGGAGTGGAAGTTGGAGCTCAGCCTGGGCAACTTTGATGACTTAGGGAGACCCTGTCTCAAAATAATAATAATAATAGGGTAGGGGATATAGCTGAGTGGCACAGCGCCCGCCTGGCAAGTGCAAGGTCTTGAGTTTGATTCCCCATACCAATAATAATAATAATAATAATAATAAAGGTTGGGGGTGTAAAAGCCCTGGGTTCAGTTCTCCCTACTATGAAAGGGAAGGAGGATCAGAGGAAGGAGGGAGGGAAAAGAAAGGAAAGGAAGGGAAAGAGAAAAGAAAAAAGAAAAGGTCATGCGCTGCTTAGAGCCCTGTTCCATCTGATGCTGCTGAGCAGGATCTGGCCGGCTGGGAGAGCTCGATGTGCCCCCCTTGGCCTGGGAGCTGACCTTTCATGCTCAGCCCAACTGCTGCCTCTCCAGGAAGCTGGCTTTGGCTTCCAGCGAAAGGGGCGTCCACTGGCACGTTCCTCTCTCCTCTGGCATTTGCACAATCTGCCTCCTTCTATTTGAGAAGGCTCAGCTCCTGCTCCTGAGTCTTGGGCGAGGGTAGGGACTGCGTGTACTGGTGGCCCCCGCCCCGCCCCCGGGACAGCTCCCTGAGCCGTGAGTCAGGAAGAGGGACGGCAGTGAGGCTGGAGGAGAATCAGCAGCTCAGCCAGCCAGCCCGCCCCAGGAAAGGCCTTGTGCCCAAGGACCACAGAGCGCACTCCGCACATGCCCCAGGGGTGGCTGCACTGCAGGCCCCCAGCTCCACTCCTCGGAGTTCAAAGAACAGGAAAATGCAAAGTGTGTTTCTGGTCACAACGCAAGGAGGTTGACAAGCAGGGGCAAAAAGAAGACTCAGAGAGCATTTGGAAGTTAAGAGCCATGACTCTTGGGTGTGGATGAAACGATGTGCTCTCCACGACTCACGTTAAAAGGATTGTAGTGAAGCTGGATGTGGTGGTTCACGCCTGTCATCCTGTTCCAGCAGTCCGGGAGGCTGAGGCAGGAGGATTGCAACTTGGTGACTTGGAAGGACTGTGTCTCAAAAAAAAAAAAAAAAAAAAGAAAAGAAAAGAAAAATTCTAATGGACAAAGCAAAGTGTACAGAAGGGAAATGGGTGAAATAAGATTGGCTCTGGGTTGCTAAGCGTTGACATTGGTGATAGGTACATAGGAATTTATTGTTCTCTGTCTCCCCATCACCACCTTGTATACATGACAAGTTTCCTAAAAGAAACATTTCTTAATTGTTTCTTGCCAAGCACAAGGTCCTGAGTTCAATTCCTGGTAGAAAAAAAAAAAATACTCGTAGGTCAGAGAAACAATAGCAATGGGAATTGGAAAATATTTTAACAAAAATGGTAATGACACATAATGACATGTATGAGATATGGCTGAAGCTATGCTGGAAGGGCAATTTATAGCCTTAAAATTAACTCAACAGTTTAAGAAAAAGAACAGCAAAATAACCCTCAGAGAACAAAAAGAGATGAGTCATCAAGCCTGGGAAGAAATGATTGACATAGAAAACAATGACTAGGTCAACAAAAGCAGGCACTGGTCATTTAAAAAAAAAAAAAAAAAAGCCAGGTTGGAGGATCATTGCAAGTTCGAGGCCAGCCTGGGCTACACAGTGAGTTCAAGACCAGCCTGAACTGCACAGTGAGACCCTGTCTCAAGTAAATAAATAATTTGTGAAGAAAGCTGGATGAACTGATCCACGCAGTCATCTTTTCCCACCAGCCTTAGGTGCCCACGGGTCGCTGTTTCTCCGCTGCTTCCGCTGACTTCTCTCCCCTTCCCTTCCGTAGATGACATCCAGGGTGAGTCCCCGGCTCCGTGCGGGACAGAGGAACCCGCCCGCACCTGTCCCAATGGGACCAAATGCCAGCCGTACTGGGAAGGGCCCAACAACGGGATCACTCAGTTCGACAACATCCTGTTCGCCGTGCTGACCGTCTTTCAGTGCATCACCATGGAAGGCTGGACCGATCTCCTCTACAATGTGAGTGGCGCCTGGACGCGCAGGGACACGGGGAAGTGGGCGGGGCTCACCTTGAATCTCTGCCCACTAGGAGGAGCTCTGCAGAGGGCCGCGCCTGCTGTGGGATTGCTCATGGTGCGAACGATGTGCTATTTAAGCTTCTGTGTCAGATTTATTTCACCTAACATTATAGTCTCAAGATGCATCCGTTTTCCCACAGATGACTCAAGTGTATCCTTCTTTATGGCAAAGTAGTACTCCATTGTGTGTAAATACATTTTCTTCATCCATTCGTCTACTGATGGACGTGTAGGCTGCTTCCAAGACTGAGCTATTTATCAGTCACTCTGCCATAAACATGGGTGTGCACGGATCACTGTACTATGATCCTAACTTTTTCAGGAAGAAAGAGTAGAGGTATATGGCTGAGTCAAGTGGAATTTCTCATTTTAGTTTTTTGAGGAATCTCCATACTGATTTCTATACTGGTGAAACCGGTTTACAACCCATACAGTGCTTGTACCAGTTTACATTCCCAACAGTGTACAAGGCTTCCTAGCAAATCAAAACTCTGGGATTCCCACCTTACTCCAGAAAGAATGACCATCATTGGGACCTCAACAACCAGGAAATGCTAGAACACCGGTAGGTGTTCAGGGGTGTGGATTTCAAACCCCTCTGCCTTCTGCGTGGCAGCCCCTCACACACTGCCTCCTCTGCACCCGCCCTAGGGCTGAAACCAGTTCGGGCCTTGCCCCTTGGGCCACAGTGTGTGCTCTGAGAGAGCAATGCCTGGCTTCCCCCTGCTCAGGGAGGTGCTGAATTCTCCCTCTGGTCTCAGGGCTCATTCCTGAGGGGAGTTCCTTCTTCAGGAGTGGAGGCAGATTGACAAGAATCCATACTTTTGACCAGTGGCCCGTTTTAGGCTGCTGCTTGGAAGTAGGCAGCAGAAAGAACCACCACGGGCAGTTGTGCATGTCAGGCGCTGCACAAGTCATTTCATCTCAAGAGCACTGTGTGTATCCTAGACAATTTAGATTTCTGCTGCTATTGTGGTAACTTATCAATAGACATACATGATGTGGGAAGGAACATGGTGTTCTGCGGGCGAAGGGAGTTCCACGCAGTTGACCAAAGCTTGCCGTGGCCTCTCCAAGTGCAAAATGGTGAGAAACACGATCTTACATTCGAGGGCATAAGGTGGATGCACAGGAAGCCTTAAGCATGGGGCCCAGCCCTGGGGCAGCGTAGGGTCAGCCCCACGCCCCACCCGGAAGTGCTCCTTTTGGAAACCGTGAAATCTTGATCTCCATGAGCTGAGGGTCTCACCTGCTTCCCGATCCAACCCTGCCAGCAGCTGCCACTAACCCAGCGTGGTCTCCCAGGACATCCCAGGCCCTCGTGTCCCGGTGTCATCCTCGGGGTAGGAGCCCAAATGGTGATTTTGGTGTCACAGGAATATAAGGCAGAGCATCTCACCCAGGACGGTTTCTGCCTCACTGGGGGGGGGGGGCAACCAGCCACGTCTGCAGCTTGCTTCATTTCATTTTGTTTTCTTGTGTTGTGTTCTGTGGTACTGGAGGTTGATCCCAGAACCTTCACACTGAACTATATCCCCAGCTGTTTTTTTAATTTTTCATTTTGAGACAGGGTTTAAGTTGCCCAAGCTGGGCTCAATCTTGTGATCCTCCTGCCTCAGCCTCCCAGAGTGCTGGGAGGAGAGGTGTGCCTTCCTGCATGGGGCAACTGCAGACTTTTTAGGTCCTCACACCTGAGTGAGCAGGCAGACGCTACTGCCACCTAGTGGGTGGAGGCCAAGGGCGCTGCTCCATACCCTGCAACATGGGCTCTCCCTGCACCCTGGAGAAAGCTTAGCCCCAAACACTCAGAGACTTTCTCCTGAGGGTACAGGTTCTCCCTGGTACCTGCACCCCGTCTATGCTCTCTGGGGCCAGGGACAGCCCCACAATTGCCCACGGGGCTGCGGGATCAGCTCTGTCCCCTGGGGGCTGTGCCCCACTCTCCAGAGACACCCAGGGATCACCCTCCTGATGCCCGCGGCAGAACTTGCTCACTGTCACACCTTCCACTTGCCAGCTTCCTCCTTCTTGGGGTTTCTTGGGGTCACTGTTTTGTTCATTTCCAGGGACTAGTATATCGAGCACCACGAAACAGGGACGGCAGAACAGCAGGAATGTGGCCGGGTGTGGCGGCATGCAGCTGCCATTCCAGCTACTCAGGAGGCTGAGGCAAGAGGATTGCAAGTTGGGCAATTTAGCAATTTAGCGAGGTCCTGTCTCAAAATTTAAAAAAAAAATATATATATATATATATATTTTTTTTAAAGGGCTAGGGATAGACCTCAGTGTGAAGGTCCGTAGTTCAATGCCCAGTACTGGAGGGAAGAAGAGACTAAAATGCCCACCTTGGTAGGCAAAACACAGACACAGTAATGATGATAAATAATAAATTACACCCGAACGTGGGCGAGGGGCAGTGAGCACATGCATGGTGTGGGATGAAGCAGCTCTGGAGGACAGGGACGGGTGGTGGGGGCGATTCCAGGTCAGACTGTCAGGGAGGGCACCGGAGGCAGCAACATTTGAGCAGAGAAAGAGGGAGCTAGGCAGATGTTGGGGAGAGAGCGTTTCCACCCAAGGATGGTGGCAGCTCCTCCACATGGCTTCTTGGTCCCCTTCCAGGTTTTTAGTTTGTTTCTTCCCTTCCTCTCTTGGCTTCCTGTTAAAATGCCTTTTGAAGAAATCCTGGTCCCAACTCAACGGCGGCGCTGTCGAAGGTTTAAATCAGGATGTGCATCCTGGAGTTATTTATAAAACTGGAACAAAACGGGAAGCGGTGAAAAGCCTGACAATAGGGAAATGGTTAAACACCGCGTGTCCCCTCCACGTGAGGGGACGCTGTGGCGGCATTAAAAGTCATCTGCTGGGAGAATGTTAAGGACGCAGGGACATGTTCACCACATAATGAGCGGGGAGATTAATTTATATCCCCAGCTGAGGGCCAGGGATATAGCTCAGCGGCACAAGCGCCTGCCTGGCAAGCGCAAGGTCCTGAGTTTGATTCCCAGTACCAATAAATAAATAAATACATAAAATAAAATAAAATAAAATAAAATAAAATAAAATAAAGGAATGGAGGTGAGGTAAACATTATGATTGAAAGGGCGTAAATATGCAAATATAAGTAAACAGCCAGAACCTGGAAGACTCTACCCAGGTAGCACCAAGGTGTTGGGACTTGGGAACTTTTATTTTCTCCGAACTTCTCTGTCTTTTCCAGTTTTTCTACAATGGGCACGTTTACTTCCGCTTTGCTTTGGTTTGCTTTTAAGTTTTGATCGTTTTTGAAGTGGTCTCCCTACATGCCCCAGGGTGGCCTTGAACTTGTGATCCTCCTGCCTCAGCCGGAGTTACAGGCGTGCACCACAGTTTATGTTTATAATATAGAAAATGTTTAAACTTCCTTGCAAACCTTGAGGCATTAAAAAAATGGAGATTTTTGGTTATTCCTAGATGGGAAACAGAGAAGAAGGAGGAAAAGGGGCAAAAATCAATCATTTCTTAGGCATCCAGCCTTCTGGACAATCTTTGACATAACCCATCTGAAGAGCCCACATGAAATAAATTAATCCTTGATACATGGATATGGCAATAATAAATATCATTTTTATTATGAAATACACACAGTAAAAGAAGGAACAAATTCCCCTAATGGAAGAATTCCATTTAATATAAACCACTACCCCGCATTTGTCACTTTTCTTCACTATAGCGAAATACTTGACAGAAGCTACTTACAGTGGGACAGGAGGTTTCTTTAGCTCGGCTAGAAGCTCCAGGGCATGATGCCTGCACCTGCTCAGCACTGGCGAGGGCCCTGTGGTGGATGGCATGGTGGGAGCAGGTGTCAGAGGCAGGCTTCTCCATCCAAGAAGTGAGGACAGGGAGGCCCAGGCTGGCTCCCTCCGTGACTCCACAGGACCACTGGAATCCCTTCTGAGCCCACGCCCCCAATGACTGAGCTCCTCCCCTTTTAAGGGTCCCATCGTCTTCCAATACCAGCGCGCTGATGACCAAGCCTATAATTACATAGACCTCTTGGGGATCCCCAAACCATATCCAAACCATAGCACGTATGCACACACACACACTCTCTCTCCATAGAGATGGAACCCAGTCTTCCCTTCTTTTGGATTGGGCTTCGCATCCAAAAGCCCTTACAAAGGATAGAATAAGGAAAAGGGAAAACAGCCATCTTCCAGTGGGAAGCTGATGGATAAAATAACGTAGCTTAGCATCTCCCATAGATGTGTGTGTCTCATGGCCCCAGATTTGATGACAAGGAAGTTGCCTCCCCTCTGTGGTCCTCTTCTTCCCAAAAACCTGTAACCCCAGTTGAGTCATAATCAAAGCATCAGACAAACCCAGATGAGAGGACATTTCGCTAGACACCTGGCAGCCTTCTGTGAGGTGGTTGAGGTCCTGATATGCAAAGGAGATGAGAAACTGTTGAAGTACAGAGGGTGCTAAGGAGACACAGCCATCAAGTGCAGTGTGTGGGGGCCAGGATGGGAAGGGGACACTGATGGAAGAACTGATGAGATCTGACGATAGAGGAGTTGTTTGGATGGTTGGTTGGTTGGTTGGTTTTGTAGTAGTTGTAATTGAACCCAGGGCCTTCCCACTAAGCTACATCCCTGGCCAGAGTTTCACTTATTTAAAAATTCTAAGGCAACAAAATGTGGTAGCCTGTAATCACAGCTACTTGGGAGGCTGAGGTAGAAAAGCCACAAGTTCAAGGCCAGCCTGGGAGACATAGTCAGACCCTGTCTCAAAACAAAAAATTAAAAGAGTTGGAGATGTAGTTCAGTGTAGAATTTCCCCTAGGTTCAATTTCCAGGACTGCAATTTTTTAAGAAAATAAAAACTGTGAGGGAAAGATTATTAGCCCCTGTGTTATAAATAAGATTCAGGGAAGTTGAGTGGCCACCCTGAAATCAC